GAGGGATCTTTTCAAATTCCATGTCTACTCACACAAGGGAAACAAAAGAAAAAATAAACAAGTAGGACTTCATCAGACTAAAGAGCTTCCGCAAGGCAAATGAAACCAAGATCAAAATGAAAAGACAACCCACCAGCTGGGAGAAAATATTTACAAATCATATATCCAACAAGGGTTAATCTCCATAATATATAAAGAACTCACACAACTGAACAGCAAAAAAACAAACAACCCAATCAAAAAACGGGCAGAGGATATGAACAGACATTTTTCCAAGGAAGATATACAGATGGCCAATAGGCACGTGAAAAGATGGTCAACATCACCAATAATCAGGGCAATGCAAATCAAAACTACACTAAGATATCACCTCACACCTGCTAGAATGGCTATAATCACCAAGACAAAAAATAACAAATGTTGGAGAGGATGTGGAGAAAAGGGAACCCTCATTCATTGCTGGTGGGAATGCAAACTGGTGCAGCCTCTATGGGAAACAGTATGAAGATTCCTCAAAAAATTAAAAACAGAAATACCTTATGATCCAGTGATCCCACTACTGGGTATTTATGCAAAGAACCTGAAATCAGCAATCCAAAGAGGCTCATGCACCCCTATGTTCATTGCAGCATTATTCACTATAGCCAAGACACGGAAGCAACGCAAGTGTCCCTCGACTGATGATTGGATAAAGAAGATGTGGTATATATACACCACTCAGCCACAAAAAAAGACAAAATCATCCCATTTGCAACAACATGGATGGACCTGGAGGGTATTATGTTAAGCGAAATAAGCCAGTCAAAGAAAGACAAACACTGTATGATTTCACTCATATATGGAAGATAAACTAACACATGGACAGAGAGAACAGTTTGGTGGTTACCAGGGGGAAGAGGGGTGGGGGGTGGGCACAAGGGGTGAAGAGACACATTTATATGGTGACTGAGAAACAATAACGTACAGCTAAAATTTCACAATGTTATAAACTATTGTGACATCAATAAAAAAAAGATATATAGACCAACGGAACAGAAAAGAAAGCCCAGAAATAAATGCACATATCTATGGTCAACTATCCTCAAAAGCATGCCAAGAACACACAATGAGGAAAGGTTACTCTTCAATAAATGGTCTTGGGAACACTGTATAACCACATGCAGAAGAATGAAATTGGACACTTATTTCACACTATATACAAAAATCAACTCAAAATTGATAAAAGACTTAAACGTAAGACCTGAAACCATAAAACTACCACAAGAAAACACGGGATAAAAGCTTCTTGACATTGGTCTGGACAACGATTTTTTTGGATATGACACCAAAAGCACAGACAACCAAAAGAAAAATACACAAATGGGACTGCATCAAACTAAAAAGCTTCTACACAGCAAAGGAAACAATCAACAGAGTGAAAACGCAACCTACAGAATGGAAGAAAACATCTGCAAACCAAGTATCTGATAAGCAGTTAACATCCAAAATATTTAATAAACTCTTACAGTCAATAACAAAAAAATATATATGACTCCATTAAAAAATGGGCAAAGGAGGGCCGGCCTGGTGGCATAGCGGTTAAGTTTACGCACTCCACTTTGGCAGCCCAGGGTTCATCGGTTTGCATCCCGGGCGCAGACCTATGCACCACTTGTCAAGCCATGCTGTGGTGGCACCCCATATAAAGTAGAGGAAGATGGGCACAGATGTTAGCCCACGGCCAATCTTCCTCAGCAAAAAAGGAGGATTGGCAACAGATGTTAACTCAGGGCTAATCTTCCTCAAAAAAAAAAAAATGGGCAAAAGACTTGAATTGATATTTCTCAAAAGAAGACAAACAAAACATCCAACAATTATATGAAAAAGTGCTCAAATTCACTAATCATCAGAGAAATGCATATCAAAACCACAATGAGATATCACCTCACATCTGTTAGAACAGCTATTCTCAGAAAGATGAAAGATAACAAGTGTTAGCAAGGATATGGAGAAAAAGGAATCCTTGTACACCATTGGTGAGAATGTTAATTGGTATAGCCATTATGGAAAACAGTATGGAAGTTTCTCAAAAAATTAAAAACAAAACTACCTATGATCCAGCAATCCCATTTCTGGGTATATATCCAAAAGACATGAAATCAGGATCTCGAAAAGATATCTGCACTCCTATGTTTGCTTCAGCATTATTCACAGTAGCCAAGATATGAAATAACCTAAATGTCCATCAACAGATGAATGGATAAAGAAAATGTGGTATATATAAACAATGGAATATTATTCCATCTGTAAAAGGAAGAAAATCCTGTCATTCACAACAACATGGATGAACCTGGAGACATTATGCTAAGCAGAAATAAGCCAGATGCAAAAAAGACCAATACTGTATGAGCTCACTTATACGTAGAATTTAAAATAGTCAAAATCATAGAAGCAGAGAATAAAATGGTGGTTAGCAGGGGCTGAGAGGAGGGGGAAATGGAGAGATGCTGGTCAAGGGGTACAAAGTTTCAGTTAAGCAAGATGAATAAGTTCTGGAGATCCAAGGTACAGCAATGTGACTAGAGTTAACAATACTGTATTGTCTACTTCAAGTATGCTAAGAGGGTGTATCTTAAGTGTTCGCATCACAAAAAAAAAAAAAGGAAAAGAAAATGGTAACTATGAGAGGGATGGATATGTTAAAAAGCTTGGTTGTGGCAATCATTTTTACAATGTACATGTATATCAAATTGTATGCTTTAAATACACAGGCGTAAGTTGAAGATAATGCAGGATTAGTTCTAGACTACTGCAATAAAGCAAATATAGATTTCTTTATTTGCGAATGACATGATTATCTACATAAAGAATCCTAAGGAGTCTACAAAAAAGCCACTAGAACTAATACATGAGCCTAGCAAAGTCATAGGATAAAAGATCTATATAAAAACCAAATATAATTCTATATATCAGCAATGAAAAATTAGAAATTGAAATTAAAAATAAATACCACTTATAATAGCATCCAAAAAATAAAATATTTAGGGATAATTATAACAAAATATATATAAGATCTATACATTAAAAACTACAAAACACTGCTGAAGGAAATTAAAGAAAGTAAATAAATGGAGAGAAAAACCTTGTTCATGGATTGGAAGACTCGATGACTCAAAATTGTTAAGAGGTCACTTGGAACTGTATACTTAAAATATGTGCATTTTATTGTATGTAAAATTATACCTCAATAAGTCAATTTGTTTAAAAATTGATTGGTATATTGTTGACACAGACGTTCCTTGAACAGAGTTGCATCCCAGGTATGCATAACCTATATGTAGGCCAGGGAACTTCAAGCCATGAATTTAAGTGTAGACTCCACCTGACAGAACCTCTAGACATCTCCTAGGAATAAAATCAAAGCCTCTAGAGAGAGCTTGGTGAAGGTCCCACAAATAATTTTTTCAAGGGCAATGACCAGACATAATTATTGATACCAGGCATACATGAAAACAAGGCAATATGAGTACTCAATAGTAGAAGCAGAACCAGTTGGAACAAACCTGAAAAGTCTTCAGATATTGGAATTATAAATGAAAAAATTATGCTTAGTATGTTCAAAGATGTAAATAGCAAGTTTGAAAATACTTGCAATGAACAGAAAATTATAAAAAGTGACATAGCAGACTTGAAAAGACCAAACAGAGCTTCTAAAAATAAAAATTGTAATAGTCAAAATTTAAAACTCAGTGGTTGAATGTAACAACATTTGGCCATAGCAAAAGAAAGTACTAGTGAAATAAAAAAGAGTTATGAAAAAATTACACAAAATGTACCATAAAGAGTCAAAAAATAAAAATTTAAAATATCTAACATGTTAACAGCCATGTTAGATACAGTGAGAAGGTCTAACTTACATTTGCTTGGAGTCCCAGAAGGAAAAGAGATAGAAATATGATAAAGAAAATGTTAGAAAAGATAATGGCTGAGAATCGTGCAGAACTGATAGAAGATAACAATCCATAGAATCAAGAGCACCGGCAAATCCCAAGCAAGAGAAATAAAAATAAATCTATACTTAGATATATCATAAACTGTAGAAATCCAAAGATAAAGAGAAAAATCATAAGAGCAGCCAAAGGGGGAAAAAAGACAAAATACTTTTAAAAGAACAGCAGTAAGACTGACATATAACCCCTGAAGAACAACAATGGAACCCAAAAGATAAAAGAATGTAATATGCAAAGAGAAAGTAACTACTCATCTAGAATTCTAAAGTCACTGAAATATCTCTCAAGAAAGATGGCTATTAAAACAGCCCAAATTCAAAATCTAACTATAACAAAACAGTATGTTATCCTCTTAATATCTATCTTTAATTTTTCTCTTTACCTTTAGTATATATATTGCTTTAAACAGAATTAAATCCCTTAAGGTAATAATAAAAAGGTCATACGAAATTAGATATATGGAAAAATCATAGAATTCTCAGGGCCTATTTAGATCCTAGTTTAACTATAAAATAGGTTTGAACAACATGACTCTTAAGGTTGTTTTTAGTTCTATGTATGATTTTGTACCTAGCCAACCACACGGCTACTGCATTACTGCAGTAAAAATTTCATTTAGTTAAATTGATGGTATAAGTAACTTAAAAAATTAAGTGCTTTATCAGAGTTGCAAGTGATAGGCTATATTTGCATAGTCAGGCTTGGAATATAAAACAGAACATAAAAGATTCACAAGACATAGAAATGAGTATTTTTCCTTCCCATAAAAAGTGAGTACATATCAGAAAAAGTAACTTCATAGGTAAATTAAATTAAAACATTCTATTAATGAACCTGGAAAATTCTGACAGTACAGCAACGACTCATATAAGCAATGATAGTGAGGGGCAAGTAACCTTTGTGCTACATACAAATAGGGGACCTTTGTACATTTGACTACTCAGATACAGAAAGGTAGTTTCCGTTCGAATAAAAGAAAAACAGTGTTAATGATCAAAAGTGTATGCTCACCTTGTAAAAACTCCTCCTTGCAAGCAATGAAGTAGAAGAAAACAATGCTGACTTTCTTGACCTGCCTTCTTTAAATCAGCCTTAAACCAAGAATAACTAAAACACTGGACAACAAGTGTTCCAAAGAGCATAAAGCTCACTGTTAAAGCACCAAAAACATATTGTCTTTCAAGGAAAAACCTGACAGATACCCAGAAGTCCACGATTACATCAGTTATATAGATTATAATGCCAAGAACTGACATCATAAAATTCAATTTAGTATATTTCATTATGAGTCACTATAGCTCTTGGTTATCTTTCTTCTCTCATACAAAAAGAAAAAAAAAAACCAGAACTATTATTAGTGCAGCCTTTGGTATAGCACTGAATTTTAATTTCTACTCCCTAAATCTATTTAGAAGAAAGAATAAATATTGTGAAATTGGAACACTAAAACCAAGTCACTAATTTTAACTTTCTTTTCTAAATCCCTAATCTGGGTCCAATGTTACAAGGCTTTATTCAATCTTCTGTTTCACAACGATCTTCATTACAGGTGACAACACCTAAAATGAAACATATATAAAAGATTCCAAAAGTCTTGAGTATAATATTAAAAACCCTAGGCCATGACTTTATCAAACCTCTACTTTTTCTAAAAATAATTTATTACCACTAAATATAGTTCTTATAATACCTTTGGGAAAGTAAAGTCTCAGAAATATACTTACCAGTTGACAACTTCCTCTCAGGCTATTTGCCTCTTAAAAAACATACCATACTCACCAAGATATTTATCACAGGCCATTGACAGTGGCAAAAAATTGGAAACAATTTAAATTTGTCAATATAAGGAATGGTAAATAATGGTAGATTCATAGAACGGAATATTACAAAGCTACTAAAACTATATTTAACAAAGGTACAATAGCTGTGAAAATTCTTAATATGCTTTTGATTCAGCAATTCCATCTAAGAATCAAGCCTAGGGGAATATTCACCAATATGCACAAAGATATGTGCTCTTTGCAGAACCTTTTTTGTAATAGCAAAAAATTGAAAATTACCTAAATGACATTTGAGAGTTCAATAAATTATGGTACATCTCTACTAAAGAATATACCACACAACCTTTAAAAAGAATGAAGTAACTTTGTATAAACTGACTTTGGAAGATCTCCAGAAAGTATTAAGTGAAAAAAGCAAGTGCCAGAAGGATAAATATAGCATTTATGGTTAATTATATATGGAGATGGGAAAGAGGTTGAGACTAGGAAGCAAATGCAACTTTAATCCTTTAATTAATTAAATATTCTTTTATATTGTTTGAGTTTTTTACAATAGACATGTACTTGTGTATTACATAATTTCTTAAAATAAAAACAACAATAAATGATATTTATAAAGAATTTCAATGACTGGAGAAAAAGTTTATGCTATTAATGATAGCTAACATTTACTTAGCACTATGTGCCAGGCACTGAGCTAAATGTTGTATATAAAATGCCCCCATTTAATTCTTACATCAAACTTAGGATATAGATACTACAATGATCCCTATTTTATAAATGTGGGCTAAATGCAATCTGAAGACAAGATTTGTCTGGGGGCCGGCCCCGTGGCACAGCGGTTAAAGTGCGCACGCTCCACTGCTGGAGGCCAGGGTTCGGATCCCAGGCGCGCACCGACGCACCACTTGTCAAGCTATGCTGTGGCGGCATCCCATATAAAGTGGACGAAGATGGGCATGGATGTTAGCCCAGGGCCAGTCTTCCTCAGCGAAAAAAGAGGAGGATTGGCATGGATGTTAGTTCAGGGCTGATCTTCCTCACCAAAAAAAAAAAAAAAAAAAAAAAGGGTTTGTCTGACAAGTGTTTTTAAAAATTTTCCTAATTAACTGCCAATATTTGATATATAAATCCAGATTTTTCACTGCTATCAAAACACTGAAAAATCTGCTACACTAGACTACCAATCCTTCATGAGCACTGGGTACCCCCTTAGATAGGGCATGCTTTCTCAAGTTCACCATGGTAGCTAGCCACCCCACTTCAATCATTTCAGCAGCTGAGTCTCAATGTTAATGCAGCTACCTACTAGCTGTGTGTCCTTAAACATGTTCTTTTACTTCCCTATGCCTTATTTTCTTCATCTGAATTATGGAGATAATGTATATACCTCATAGGGTTGTTGTGAAGGTTAAGATAATATATATAATACATATAAACCTCTAGAAAATACTTGGCACACAGTTAGGACTCAAAAAATGTTAGTTATCATTATTACCTTGCCTACCTGCCTGATCTCTGTAAGCATCTGAGTTTGCAATCTTTGACTTGACTTTAAAGAACGTTAAGTGAAGAAATACTATGGTATGATCTCAAGGCTTTGAAAATGCAAAGGAAATAAGACTGGAGAAATACAAAAATGTTAACAATGGTTTTATCTGGGAAATTATGGTATTATAGATGATTTTTTTTTTCTTCTTCATTCTTTTCTACATGGATTGAATTGTTTCCCCCAAAAATTCATACATTGAAGTTCTAACTCCCCAAGGTGACTGTATTTAGAGATAGGACTTTAAGGAGGTTATGTTAAAAGAAGTCGTAAAGATGAGGCCCTAATCCAATAGAATTGGTGTCCTTATACAAAGAGGAAGAGATCTATCTCTGCCACACACACACACACACACACACACACACACACGTACACTCAGGAAAAGCCATGTGAGGACACAATGAGAAAGTAGCTGTCTGCAACTACTGAGGGGCCTCATCAGAAACCAACCCCGCTGGCACCTTGATGTTAGACTTGCAGTTGCCAAAACTGTGAAAAAATAAGTTTCTGTTGTTTTAGCCACCCAGTCTCTGGTATTATGTTATGGCAGCCTGAGTAGACTAACACCCTTATGTGACCTATAAAGAACATTTATTACTTCAAAAACCAGAGGGAAAAGTGTTACTAAAAACACACACAACCTAATATTTACAGTGTTCTTGTCATTTTACCACTTAGCAGTATTTTGTTTAAAAGACTTCAGAACAACATTAAAAAGCATTTCACTCTTCTTACAGAAAAAAAAAAAAAAAACAAGAGTCTATTATCACTACTTTTCCTGTCAAGAATGTTGTGGTCAACAGGATGGAAAAAATAATTTTAAAATCTGAGTTTTTCCAATCTAGCAGGCCATGAATTTCCCTCCAGTAGGTTTCTCATCTTAAAATGAAAGACATCATGTCCAACATAAGCATGGAGTTTAGGAGGATGAGATTTAATCAGAAGGTTCTGTTCAATTGAATTAATAAAATATTTACTTAGAACCTACCATGTGCTGTTTTAAGCTCCTGGGATATATCAAGTGACAAAAGAGACAAAAATCCCTGCCCTGGTGGCACTTACATCGAGCAGAGAAAGACAGCCCATTAACAATAAAATAATAAGTAAATTGAATATCATATCAGAAGGTGATAAGTGCTATGGAAAAAAACAGAGTTGTTAAAGGAGACCAGGAGTTGGAGTAGAGGCAGGCACATATGGGTTGCAATTTTAATTAGAATGGTCAGAGCAGGCCTCATTGAGAAGGTGGCATTGGAGTAATGAAATTAGCCATGTGGATATCCTATGGAAAAGCTTTCCAAGTGGGAGGAACAGCTAGTTTGAAAGTCTAATGTACTAGATTTTGAGTATGTCCTCCAGAAACAGAAGTTCCTCAAAATATTGGCAGATTTCTTAGCATGGTTATGTTGGATGTGTTTAACGTGTATCCAGATCATGTTCTAAAATCATTCTAAAAAATATAATTTCTTAAGCTTTACTATCTAGGAAAAAAAACATTCCATATATGTATGGAAGAATAGATAGTAATAATGATAGCTACCATTGCTGAATGTTTACTATGTGTGAAGTTTTTTACATACTTTTTTTTTTTTCTGGTAAGGAAGATTCTCCCTGACCTAACATCCGTTGCCAATCTTCCTCTTTTTGTGAGGAAGACATGTGAGCTGCCACCACAGCAGGGCCACTGAAAGATGAGTGGAATAGGTCCACACCCCGGAACCAAACCTGGGCCATCGAAGCAGAGCATGCTGAACTTAACCACTAGGCCACCAGGGCTGGCCCCATACATTATTACATTTAATCCTCACAAATCCCTACCAGAAGAGTATTATTGGTCTCATTTAACAGATGCATAAACTGAGGCTTAGAGATGCTGGGTATTTAGATGAGATATCTCTAATGAGTAAACTAATTTTAATGTAGATAATTTCCCTAAAATTACAGACTATAATACCTAAGCACTCCATGTTTGCATTTCTTAATTACTCTCCCCACAAAGAGAGCTTCCTTTACCTGGCATGGATAAGGGAAACACTAGCAGTTTTGTGTCAAGTTTTACAAGATGGGAAAAATAATTCCTAAGAAACAGAAATTGCATTATTGGCAGAACATCAGACTCAATACAGGCATACCTTGAAGATACTGAAGGTTTGGTTCCGGACTACCACAAGAAAGCGAACACCGCAATAAGGCAAGTCACACGAATTTTTTGGTTTCCCAGTGCATATAAAAGTTATGTTTACACTACATAATGTTATGTCTACTAAGCGTGCAATAGCATTATGTCGAAAAATACAATGTATATACCTTAACTAATAACTACTTTATTGCTAAAAATTGCTTACCATCATCTGACCCTTCAGCAAGTCATAATCTTTTTGCTGGTGGAGGGTCTCACCTCAATGTTGATGGCTACTGACTGATCAGGGGGGTGGTTGCTGAAGATTGGGGGTACTCTGGCAATCTTTTAAAATAAGACAACAATGAAGTTTGTTGCATCGATTGACTCTTCCTGTCATGAACTATTTCTCTGTAGCATGCAATGCTGTCTGATAGCATTTTAGCCACTGTAGAACTTCTTTCACAATTGGAGTCAATCCTCAAAAACCCTGTCACTCCTCTATCAACTAAGTTTATGTAATATTCTAAGTTCCTTGTTGTCATTTCAGCAATCTTCACAGCATCTTCACCAGGAATAGATTCCATCTCAAGAAACCACTTTCTTTGTTCATTCAATAAGAAGCAATTCTTCATTCATTAAAACTTTATCATGAGATTGTAGCAATTTCATCACATCTTCAGGATCCTCTTCTAATTCTAGTTCTCTTGCTACTTCCACCACATCTGCAGTTGCTTCCTCCACTGAAGTCTTAAACCCCTCAAAGTCATCCATGAGAGTTAGAATCAACTTCTTCCAAATTCCTGTTAATGTTGATATTTTGGCCTCTTCCCATGAATCACAAATGTTATTACTGGTATCTAAAATGGTGAATCTTTTCCAGAAGGTTTTCAATTTGTTTTGCCCAGATCCATCAGAGGAATCACTATCTATGGCAGCTATGGCCTTACAAAATGTATTTCTTAAATAATAAAATTTGAAAGTTTAAATGACTCCTTGATCCATGGGCTGCAGAATGGATGTTGTGCTTGCAGGTATGAAAACATTAATCTCGTTCTACATCTCCATCAGGGCTTTTGGGTGACCAAGTGCACTGTCAATGAGCAGCCATATTTTGAAAGGAATCTTTTTTTCTGAGCAGTAGGTCTCAACTGCAGGCTTAAAATATTCAGTAACCCATGTTGTAAACAGATGTGCTGTCATTCAGACTTTGTTGTTCCATTTATAGAGCACACGCAAAGTAGATTTAGCATAATTCTTAAGGGCCCTAGGATTTTCAGAATGCTAAATGAGCATTGGCTTCAACTTAAAGTCACCAGCTACATTACTCCCTAACAAGAGAATCAGCCTATCTTTTGAAGCTTTGAAGCCGGGCATTGACCTCTCCTCTCTAGTTATGAAAGTCCTAGACGTCATCTTCTTCCAATAGAAGGCTGTTTCATCTACATTGAAAATCTGTTGTTTACTGTAGCCACCTTCATTAATGATCTTAGCTAGATCTTCTGGATAACTTACTGCAGCTTCTACATCTGTACTTGTTGTTTCACCTTGCACTTTTATGTTAAGGAGATGACTTCTTTCCTTAAACTTCATGAACCAACTTCTGTTAGCTTCAAACCTCTCTTCTGCAGCTTCCTCGCCTCTCGCAGCCTTCATAGAATTGAAGAGAGTTAGCCCCTTGCTCTGGATTAGGCTTTAAAGGGATGTTGTGGCTGGTTTGATCTTCTATCCAGACCACTCAAACTTTCTCCGTATCAGCAATAAGGCTGTTTTGCTTTCTTTTCATTCGTGTCTTCACAAGAAGAGCACTTTTAATTTCTTTCAAGAACTTTTCCTTTGCAATCATAGCCTGGCTAACTATTTGATGCAAGAGGCCTAGCTTTCAACATGCCTTCCTCACTAAGCTTAATCATTTCTAGCTTTTGACTTAAGGTGAGAGACGTGCAACTCTTCCTTTCACTTGAACACTTCAAGGCCACTGTAGGGTTATTAATTAGCCCAAAGAGAAGGAGAGCGACAGGGGAACAACTGGTCTCTGGAGCAGTGAGAACAAACATAACACTTATCGGACTAAGTTGGTCGTCTTATATGGGTGTGGTTCATGGTACCCTAAAACAATTACAATAGTAACATCAAAGATCACCGATCACAGATCACCATAACAAAGATAGTAATAATGAAAAAGTTTGAAATATTGTGAGAATTAGCAAAATGTGACACAGAGACATGAAGTGAGCAAATGCTGTGGGAAAAATGGTGCCAATAGACTTGCTTGATGCAGGGTTGTCACAAGCCTTCAATTTGTAAAACACATAATATCTGCAAAGCACAATAAAGTGAAGCACAATAAAACAAGGTATACCTTTAGACTAACCTAATATGGCAACTTCTATACTCCTAATGTAGTCAGGCAGAACATAACACCAACTGGAAAGAAAAGTATACAGCAAGGTAATAAATACGGCAGCTCTCATAAAGAGAACCCACAGCTCTTTCAATAACCACACATTTGTATAACTTGTATGAGTTCATCTCTATTCCTACAGTTGATCATTGTTCCAATACCACCTTAGGAAAAATAAGGCCACCTACAAAATCTGACTTCACAGAGAACTTGTGACACTCACTAACTTAATAGGACAGTTTCGATCCAATTTCATTCAGAGGTCAACCCAGCTGTGTGGCTACCTGGCTGCCAGCCAAAGTAAATGACCTTTGCCCACTGTATAAGATCTCTTTGCCATAAAGCAAATACTTGAAGAAGTAAAAACTAGCAAACTTTCATTTTTCAACCAAATTTAACAGACATAAAATACAGACTTACTTGTCAAATATAAAAAGCCTTCTTTAACTCAAAGTCCCTTCTGGAAACCTTCATCCTGCAAATCTTTTATTTCTTCTTCACTGAAAACAAGTGTAATTAAAGGGCATGTAAACCTTTAAGACCAAATACAAAATGAAACTGAAATCACCTGTTAGTCATATGTGGGATTTTCTAATCTAGTGACAACAGAGTTTGTATCATCCAGACTATGGTACATCCCTTTCTAACTATCACATTGGGGGAAGGAATAACACAGCTCCTTTTATAGGTTGCTTAGATTACAACCTGTACTGCATTTACCAATTAAGTTTTAAGAAAACACAATTTGCCTCATAGCATGTCCAAATGGACAAGTCATGTTTGAAAGGGAGAGAGATTCTTGAATTTAAAATACTCTGACAAAGAATTTACAAAGTATAATTAACATAGTCCTACCTACTTTTTCAAACTGTGTACCTTCTCAAATCCTAAGCCCCAAGAATATATGACTGTTGGTTTCTGTTCTCAAAATAAACACATTTGTTCTACTTCTAAGGCTTTGCTCAAGGTTATTTACTGTCTAGAATGCCCTTCTACCTCCATCTGCCTGATGAAGTTCCATCAATCCTTCAAGAACCAGCTCAAAACCCATCTCCTTTAAGCTTTCCCAGATATTCCCAATCAACGACTCTTCCCTTCATCCTTGCAATCCCATCACTTTAGCTGTACTTCTCTAGGATTTACCCATATATGCTTTAAAATAAGATCACGTATGTCTCCCTCCTAGCTATAAGCCTCTAGAAAGCCTACTATCTTACTCATTTTAACAACCCCCCCCAATATGTCTACAACAATACTTTGCATGTTGTAGGCAGACGATAAATGACTGTAAAAGTAACTGACAGAATGTAAAACATCTTTGGTCTTATTTCTTGGAGAGGAACTTAAACTTCAAGCCACACTGCTAAACATATCCACAAAGACTCAGTTTTGTATCTGTAGCCTAGATCTCTCTTCTGAGATCAACCCATATATCCAACTGACTATAGATTTCTTTACTGGGATATCCCACAATGACCTCAATGTCAATTTGTCTAAACCAAGTTCACTGTGTACTCTCTGTTCCTGCTCTTCTGCTCGCGTCTCTTGTATAATTCTACTCAGGTCACTTAACTTTTAAATTGTTGGACGCGTTTCTTCATCTGCCAAATAAAGAACTTGGCAATGGACTAAATGAAATTGAGATGGAAGCACAAGGGAAATCTTAATTTAAAAAAAAAAAAAGGTAAGGGATAAGAGAATCAAGCTGCAAGCACTATGGTCCAGAAATTACTGTTCCACCCTCTTCTCAAAGGTTTGCTGACTTTCCAGCACAGAGTTCTTAAAAAGGGAAGATGGAGGTAACTTTGGCCTGAATAGCCATTATTGATGCTAAAAATTAATAAATATTGGTGAGTTGAAAATGCCTGATGTAGGGAATTTTGATGGTTATTCCAAGCATTTTTTTAAAGGGCATATTGCTTGCCTTCTCATTGCAAAGGGGATAATTGGGATGATTTCAGTGAAGGTTCTTGAGACACTTTTCCAGTAAAAGTACCTGTCTGAGACAAAAGGCAGAGAAATTTGTCACACATAATACAGGTGTATCTTTCAAGAAATCTGGAATATTAAACTGCTGGTTTGTAAAATAAATATTTTCTAAATTAACAGCAGATAGTCTTTTCTTCAGAAATACCCGCAAAAAAAAGAATGTTAAAAAAGCTGGTCCTAAATTTTAAAACTACAGCGTCTCCTGTGTCAGCTTCTCACTTGTTTTGAACAGGGGCTGGGCTGGCATAGAGGATATATTCTACACCTCTGCTGGGGTGGTGGTTACCTACAAGGGTCATAACTCGATGAAACTGATCACAGGATCCGTGCATTTTCTTTTAGGTAAACTGGAACTCGATTTTTTTTTTTAACGGGGAGCCGTCATGAATACTGGAGAAAATGCTCAGCAGCTTAGAAGAGGTCTCCTTCCAGAGAAAATAAGGGCCTCACATCTTGGGCATGAAGCTCCTCCACCAGGCCGACCTAGCTCTCCGGGCAGGAGGGTGGCGCAAGGAGTGAGAGGCAAGCTCCCTGAATGTGCCCAGACGGGGACAAGTGCTGGTGCCCGGCGGAGAGGAACAAGGCTTCCGACGCGTAAACACACACACACACACATACATACACACACACACACACACACACACACACACACCGCCATTGCCTAAAAACCTGATGAGCAGTCTTTCCCGGAATTAACTCAATAACTAACCCCAAACCTGCCTGCCCCTTGCTCCATCACAAGACTTTCCAGGTCAAAGTACCCTTCGTCCACTTGGATGAACTCTCCTGCCTGGACACAAACTCCGGTGACAAGCCGCAGCGTCCCGTGTACCGGAGGCCAGCCTCGCCTCACGCCACTTCAGCCACGCGCCCGCGAACCCCCTCAGGCGGCCGCCCGCCACAGCGTCACGTGACCTGTGGCCCCGCCCCCGGCGCAGCTGCCGAGCGCCCTCTCCCCCGCGGGCGCGGCGTCATGTGACCGCGGGCCCCGCCCCTTCCGGGCCCTGCGGTTCTAGGCTTGGGTACGGTAGTGGCCGGCGAGCGGCTGAGGCGGAGATGACTGCCATCCTGCAGCGCATCGAACCGCTGTCAAGTCGGGTGGTGCGCGTCCTGGGCTGTAACCCGGGTCCCATGACCCTGCAGGGCACCAACACCTACTTGGTGGGGACCGGCCCCAGGTAAACGTCCCTCCTCCCTCCCCAGCATACGCACCGGCCCGCGAGACCCACGGAGCTGGGGCTGAGACGGTTGGTCGCCGCGGGCCCGGAGCCTGTGCGCCCGCAGCTGGGAGCGCGGCGTCCTGCCCCTAATCGCGACCACCCCCGCTGGGAACCTCTCTAACTTAAAAATGGCTAACGAGGGAGAAATTTTTTAAAAACTTCCTGTTTTTGAAACGCAGTTTGCTCGATGTTGAATGCAAGGGTGAGCGTCTCTAAGCTGTTGAGAATTTAAGATCGCCTGGAGTTGTTAAGAATCCAGAAAAGCGTTTGCTTGGCTCACGTGATTTGCACTGGTGTTTTGACCGAAGTATAACTTCCTTTCGCAAGAGCGATTAATTGTGCCAAGGCCTTTTTCTTAACTCACCGGCAGAGGGCAGGAATTTCTGGCTTCCACGTTGCTGGAGTGTGAAACCCGAAAGAGCGACCTAGCCCTTGGGAGAGAGGAGCTGACTAGTTTTGGGTTTTGTTACTATTGTGTGGCCTTATTGAAGTTATTTTGTGGATGGAATAACCTCTCTGTATTTCTAAGATTTTTCGCTTGTTCAGCTGCGTTCTGCTTTAGTGGAATTATGCAGAAATGGGAGAGATGGTTTACTGCACAATAAGTGCATTGAGCAATTTTTGTATAGTCTAGATAATAGAAAATAAATATATAGTTCCTCTTGAGCATAGAATTTAATTGTGCAGTCACAACATGTTAACAATAAAATATAGTTAATTACTAAAAACAGTTTAATAAGTAGAGTTTATTGAGTTTTCATTTGCAGCATCTACTATATTTGCCTTTTTCCAGTAAATCAGAATTTTAGAAGCAGCAGGATGGAGGAACTGAAAGTATTGCAAGTTAGGCAGGCAAAAGGTTAAGTCCAGAGTAAGCAAGAATGGGTAGGTACAAGAACTTTAGGCTGCTTCCAGAATTTAGGAGAGTAGAGAATTAAGCAGAAAAAATAGCTGATATCTAGGGTAGAGTCTGTTCTGGCTGGAACTCCACCCCAGGAAGTCCATAGGCATCCTCTTCTGTCTTCAGGGTGTGATCTTAAGCTAGCTCTAAAGTCAATACCTAATGAAAATTGCAGATAGAATTACCCTAGAAACTCTCTTGGGAGAAGACTATGTTGGAGATCAGTGCAATGTCTCTCAGTAAGTTCAGTGCAGCCTACTTTTCTTCCAGGGATAAAACAGATGGCTGATTCTGTTTGAAAACCACAAAAAGGTTGGCTTGCTTTTAGAGGCCATGTTGTATGAAAAATACATTCTGTGTCTTTAAACACTGGAATCACACTCAGTGTAGCGAAGTGCTCATGCTAAAAGACATAAAGAACCTGAAACTGACTGAGGGAAGAGCAGATTCATGGTCTCCCATCTTATACTGCATACACTACTGTTCACAGAAACTCATGGAGTAGAATGGCTGGTAGAATCACTCATATATGAGAGAGAGAGATGATGAGTCCATATAGTTGAGCTAGAATAAGTCAATGTACAGATGATGCTATTCTGCTGTACAAAGTATAAGTCAAGTGGCTAGCAATGAGTATTAATTGCGACCAAGTAAGAGGTTTTGGTATTGGTATTCACCTGTTCTGCTGGACAGAATCAGAAGTGGCTCCTCTATCACTAAATCCAATGGCATTTTTCCATTCCCATCTTATTTAAACTTCGATATCTTTTGACACTGTTGACTACCCTCCTTGATTTGCTGACACCACGTTCTTCTGGTTTCCTCTTACCTTTCCAGCTGCTCTTTTCCAATCTCCTTTATAGAATCCTCCTCTTTACCAGATCTTTTAAGTGTTTGAGTTCCTCAAGACGAAATCTTAGTCTTTTTTCTGTTCTCATACTGTATTCTTTACCTAGGTAATCTTGTCTATTTCCTTGGCTTCACCTATTATCTGTTCATTAATAACTCCCAAATTTATAGCTCCAGTTTAGACAAAAGCCAAACTTGATCTCCAGACTAGGGTAGCCAACTGCTTTTTTAAATCTCTACTTGGATGACTCACAGCCACTTGAAACTCAGTGTTTCTAACTAACTGAACTCATGGGGTTTAATGGGAAACTAAACCTGGTCCTCTTCCAGTCGTCCATATCTTGGCACACAAAACCATCTCCACATTTGATCAAGGCAAATATTTAAGTACCTCCTTAACATTTTTCTTTGCTTCCTGCACACACATCCAAGCCATTACGAAGATCTCTCTATTTCCACTGCTATCACCCAGTCCAAGCCAGTACAACTCTTGCTTAGGCTTCTAAAA